TTTTCTCTCCTTGTAACTTCCATATCTCAGTTCTCGTCTGGGGAGTCTACAAAATGTACATGTACCATCCCCTGGATGGAATCACTCTGATTGACCTGGGCTCCCCATGGATCTCCCGTGGTATTTTCCTGGCTCGCCACAGTGCCCTTTGGTCTCACTTGTTGTGGCCACAGCTGGGGCTTCACTTCAGCTCTTCACATACTCCCTTCTCTTGTATCCAATTAGCCAACTACAGTGCTGCCCCAGGAGAGGTTATATTTCTTTTCTTTCAAGCAGTCTCGTGTGTCAAGGAGCCATCATCACCAACTTACTCTTCTCAGTTAGTCCTAGGATCTTTCAGCACCCTCATAGCGGCATTCGTTACGCAAAGGACCATGCTCCAGCTCTGCAGGGGACCGGTGGTGGTGTCCCCACAGTTCTCCCATGAGAGGCTCTGTGCACATGCTTTATAACTGTGGAGCAGAGACGGCAGACTGCCGTGTCTGGAAGGTACTTAGAGCTCTGTGCACCAGGCCAGGACTATGTGGCATCTCACTCGAGACCCGTTATCAGAGACACATGCACCGAGAGCCACTGAGCTCCCCTCTGCCAATCCAAGCGCACTTTGGCTGCCGATCTAACACAAACTGCAGAGTCTGAAAACAGTGATCAGAAAACAGAATGTTGACTTCCTGTCATCTCTCAAGTTGGCCCTCTGTCTCCTGATGTTTAAAATGACCTCAGTTCCTGTTCCCCAAGTGGCCAAAAGGCTCTTGACCTGGGCAGTAAGAGGTATATGCCTTTTGGAAAGGACTTAATTTATGCCTAAAGATAGGACATTTTTACTTGAAAAAGGAATGAAGACAGGTATGGACCTTGAGAGGAGCTTCCCCACGTCAGTGTTCACTGTCTGAGAAGGCATGTTCTTGCCCTTGACTCTGCTTGCATGTGTCGGGGACCTTTATCCATCAGGGACCGGGAGCTGCTCAGGGAGCGCAGAGGCTTCAGCCACAGCAAACAGACTACATTTGGTCCAGGACCCAGGCCGTCCAGGTCAGCACGTTGTGAGTTTCGCGAAGCTGAATGCTGAACGTAGACCAGCTCGCTGCGGGCTGTGGGGGATGGTTCGATGTTTATTGGCAGTATTACTCCTATTCTGCAAAATGTCCATTCATGTTGCTTGTTAATTTTTTTTATAATTGTTATTGATTCATAGGACTGCTTTATATATTTAATTCTTTCTCTGTGTATCTACGTATCTATTGATGCATCTACCTACCTAAAAGTACACTTTCAAATGTGACTTCTTTTATTAAGAATAATAACCTACATTGCATAAATTAGTCTAGTTACAAAGGTCTTACGTACGAATGTTTTCATTCCCTTTACTCTGATTTTCTAAGGGACAGAACTAGATCCCATATCACGCAAATCATGATTTATCAGATGGACAAAATAAAGTGGAAAAAACCCTCTGTTGTTGTCCTCATTTACTTTACTATTTGGGAGACTAGAATAAGGATCTTTTTGTTTCTGAATAATGTTTTTCAACATTAAATTTCAGGAGGGAAATAAGTTGAAACAACCACCCCTCCACAGTCACTGTCACTAAGTATCTCAGAGTCACATGCTGTCTAGGGCCTGTTCTGCCCTACTTTGGCTTGGGGGAACTGAGAAGAAAAAAAGAAGATGTGCCTGTGACTGGATACAATGTGGGTGGTCCTGAAATTCACCCAACAATCTTCCAACTAAACACTCCCAAACCACAGGGCAGAAGGGGACTTTCCCTGGGTGGTCAGGACCCTTTCCACAGAGCTCCTACATGCAGGCACGGGATGTCAAACCCAAGGACAGTGCAGGAAAGGATGCTGTGCCCTGCAACCCCCCCTCCGGGGCTTACAATGGAGTTAGGAAGACAAATGCATGAAAAAGTAAGAGATGTGAGTGACAGCGTGAGAAAGCAGTGGAAGGCTGTCACGATTTTCATTGTTGAGCTCAAATGGATGAGAAAGGATCAGAAGAAAGAAATGTGCACTCTTGGAGCCACCTCCAGTCAAGCCTGTTGGCTCTGCATTTCCCCTTCTTCCAACCCCACCCCAGGATCAACGGGCCACAGGCAGGGCGGCCAGGCCCAGTTTCTCCCACCACTGCAGGCCCACGGTGTGGCCTCCCGGACGCCCTGCATCCAGCGGGCCCCCCAGCTCTCCGAGGTGGAAGTCCAGTGGAGGGTCCCTCCCCCACTCTCAGACACTTTCACTTTCACAGCAGCCCTGGCTCAGTGTTCACAAGATTTAGGGGAAACTGGAAGCACAGACTGTCCCCCCAAAAAAATGCTGGGGCCCTTTTCTGGGCCACATAATGGGTCAGTTTCTTGCTCTTTTCCTAAGTAAGTGCTGAGCCTGGCATCTTCCCTAGGCTCTGAAGTTCTATCTTACTAAGAGCCTCTTGAAAATTAACGTAGACACTGAATCATGAGGTAACATGCGGGCTCCGGTCCCAAGTGACCTTAAAATCGCATCTTTTTGGTGACCATCTCCTCCAGTGCTTCTCAACTAGAGAAGAGGTCTCTCCCCAGAAATCTGGTAATGTCTAGAGACATTTTTGGTTATCACCGCTGGTGGTGGTAGGGACGTGCTATTACCATCTAGTGGGTAAAGGCCAATGATGCTACTAATGTGCTATAAGGAACAGGTCGGCCCCCACCACTAAGAACTATCCAGCCCAAAATATACATAGTGTCCAGATTGAGAAACCCTGATCTACTCCTCGCTAACCCAGACTGGAAAAACCATAGGTCATTGGCTTCCCTGACATAACTCCCAGTTCAACACATCTTCTTAACAGAGGGTGGGGCAAACGTAAGTTTACAGCAGAGTTTAATCTTGTATTATTATTTATTATTATTATTGTATCATTTACCATATGAACAACTGTAAACCTACTTTTGCCCTACCTGTATTGTTAAGCCAGTCCCTACATTCACATCTGGACATAGGATTCTGGAGAGGGGACCGGAGGTCCTATGAGTCAGTGACTCTCTTCCCTTGGAATACTCAGCTTATAACCTGCATTCTCATTGATGTGACACTCATAAAAGATATTCTGACTGCAGTCCAGTCTCTCTGGGTGACAAACTTATAAATTGCATTGAGAATGACAAGGACTCCTTTTATCTCATTATGTAATTATTTTTTATTAAATAGAACTAAATGATATCATCTGCTGGTAATCAGTCATTGATTCAGCCAACAAATATTTATTGTGGGCCCACTAGGACCAGGCACAGTGCTCTATTCTAGATGAATGGTAACTATCCAAGTCTACAATCTTAGACCATAGTCCCTACAGCGGGATTTCATCTGGTGGGGTGAAAGGGTGAGTGCTTGTTAAACTGTGGATGCTTGGGCCTCCCTTCAGAGATTCTGATTCCACAAGTCAGGTTGGCGCCCAGGAATCTGCATTTTAAGCAAGCACTTTAGGTAACTATGATACAGGCTACCCATGGGACCATGAATTAAAAAACATTGGTAGAAAGCATGAACTCTACTCAACCTAATCCCAGGTTTGAGAATATGCAGACCTGAGCGCCAATGTGGCAATTTCCTATATCCCTGAAAAAAATCATTTAACCCTTTATCAGTTAATCATTTAATCATTCATTGTCTCACATTTCCCACTTTTAAACAGAAGGCTAGTATGACCTGTCAAACACAGATGGTGAGAGGGTAGCATGGCCCCATGTAAACAGAAACTTTCAAAGAAACAGAGCCATCGAAGTTTTATTTCTAAACAAAATTTTTATGACATGTAACAGAATGTAAATTTGCCAAATACATTGGTGTCGACAGTAGTTAGGGGAAGAATCTCTTGCCTGTGTAAGAGATTTGCACACTAGCTACCTCTGAACCTACCTCATCATGTCATAGCTCCTAACTTGATTGGGACTGACCCTCTCTGGTTACCAAGATAAATGGTTTCTCTGATCACTCTCAATTTTCTTTCAAATCCTTTCTCAGGCCTACATGTTAACATTCTATTATGTGACTTTGCAATGGGTCATTTATTTTAGCAGCAGGTAACCACCATGAGAAGCTCAAGTTTAAACTTTGTTCCAAGCAAACATTTCCAAGCCATTAGAAACACCTTAACACTTGTCTAATATCAAGGAAGTTATCTTGCCATATGGATAGAAATATAAAACACAGGGAATCACTTTTGGCCTAAAGGCTCTGCCCTAAATTACTGTGATCGATTTAATAGTAGAAGAAATCCACATAAAGAAACTCACTATAACAACTATACAACAGATTGAAGTCAATCTGTCACTATCATTAATGAGAAGAGGTGTGGTTTAAAGGTCAGAGAACTCAGAAAATACGCCAGCATCCCTTAAGATAACTAATCCAAAATGCATTGCTCTTGTTCAACTCCTCTAAGAATTCCCTTCCATCTGCCTCTTTAACTGAAATTGTCTTTATTATACCTTCAAACGTCTCCATGTTCCTGTCTTGTCTGCATTGTTTCCTTTTTGCTGCAAGTATCAACCCATCTCAGCCCCAAGTCCACAGAGAGGGCCTGGAGACCCCACGGGCTCACAGAGCAGGCTACCTTGACTTCAGTCACAGATCAAGCCCTTCAAAAGACCACTCTCTGTGCTCCGCTCAAAATCCACTCAAAATATAGATGAGTGTCCAAATAGGAGGGAAATGAGCCTCCTGTGATAAACAGAGAAAAACTCACAGTTTTGTGTGTGATCTGTAGCCTTAACCCATCCAAAGTAACCCAGATTCCACACACCAGGGAGCTCCATTCCTGCGCCACCTCCAAACAAAAGAGAACCCCCTTCCAGGCCTTTGGGAACTTTGAGCCAACCTATCAGCTTGAATGCAAATCTCCCCCCAAACCCAGCTTCGCCAAGATCCATTTTTAGGTAAACTCTGCTCCCTGCAGACCAACATGCAAATGGTGGGTGCTCAAGTAGAAGAGCTACAAAGGGAGCAGAAAGACAGGGGGGACCGTACCTATTTTCGCAGCCTCTCCCTTCAGGCTGAAATCCCAGTTTCTTGGCAGCTTCAGGGACATTTTGCTTCTGGTCCTGGTGAGCAGCTGCTGAATCGGCGGGTGTGCCTCAGTTGGCACCCTCCTGGCCCTGCTGAGCTTTCCCTCGGGCTGGAGCGTGCGTTCCCCTTTAAGGTTGCTTCACGGGCAGACTTGGGCTTGGGGGTGATTTGCCAGCATGTGTCGCCCTTTTTCTCAGATGCAAGATCCAATCATCTGTGTCTTGGGGATGGCACCCAGGCCCCCACCAGACCTCACCCACAGCCCCCCGGGGCCGGGACCTCGTGCAGTGTGCACCCTGCTTCTCTTGCTTTCACTTTTGCCAGAAGTCTGGGAGTTGACACTCCGCTCTGCGTCATGGGAAGCAAGGCTCCTGGTTGAGAGAATCTCAGGCCTCCCTGAGGAGAGGGCGTCATAAACAACCGCTGCCTCTTGGCTTTTTTTTTTTAACTGTCTGCTTCCTTGCATTTGAGGAAGTGGTGGCTGCTCAGGGTAGGTGGTACACTCTGAGCACTCTTTTCTTAAGAAAATGGTTTTCGGAAATGCTTGCATAAGTAGAACGAGTGCTCTTGTGATATAAGGCTATAGATTTGATTTTAAAAAAAAGAAAATGCCAAGACTCTCGCCATAGACCTCTGAGTGCTCCTCCTCACTGAACGGATCAGGCATCCAAAAATGTTCAGGCAGACAAGCAGCATTCCTCCAAAGTTACCTTACTTTACATTTTTCCTGCTCTGAGGACCACATGGTGAGTTCTCCACCTGCTCAGGGTAAAGGTTCCAGGTGACCTTGGCCTGATGTAGGGAGGGTTCAGGTGTGCTTAGCTAGTAAGTTTGCTTTCAGTGGGGAGGCCCTCTCATGTGTTATAATGGTTCTTTGGCATCGTGTGCAGGGTGTGGGTTTGGGAATCAGACGGACATGGGATCAAAACTCAGTTCTTCCATTTCCTAGCTCTGCAGCTGTTACCAAGCGACTAAATCCCTCTGGGCCTCAGTGTCCTCAGAGGCAAAATGGGGTTGATAATAACCATGACTGCACAGAGCTGTGAGGCATGTGGTACAGAGCTTGACACGCAGTGGTTGCACCACAAATGTTAAGTCAACCCTTATTCTATTTAGTTCAATTCCGCGTCAGGCTTTCATATGTTTAACTTAGTGATGAAGTACTTGGGCCCAGAGCCAGGCTGCCTGTGTTCAAATCTTAGCTCTCCCACTTTCTTACTGTGTGGTTTTGGACAAGTTTCTTGACCACTCTGTGCTTTAATTTCCTCATCTGTAAATGAGGTAAATAATAGGGCCTCCTTCGTAAGACTGGCACAAGGCTTTATCAGATAGGAGGTAAGAGGGTCACTGCTAGCTAGTAGGCAAGCTACACACACATCCTTCCTCCATTCATTCTTGGACTCCCCTGGACGACTCTGTCACACTTTCTTCTTCACCTCCCATGTGCTCAGCCTTCGTTGATGACTTGGCTTCCGATTTCACTGAGAAAGTTGTTGCAACGGGAAGAGACTGTCTGCAGGCTCCCCCCTCCATCTGCCACCTCCCTGCATGTCAGCCTGCACACCCAGCCTTCTCCCTGTTACAGTGGGTGAACCGACTGTCATCACTCCTCTGTCTCTACTGCATCATCAATTTCTTCTTTCTCTTGGACCATTGCACTTAGCATTCAAGCTTATTATTTTTACCCCACTATTTAAAAACAACCTCTCTTGATGCCATTTGGGTGACAGCACCATTTCTCTCCTGCATTTCTGAGCAAAGCTTTGGTAAGAATTGTCTGCACCTGCAAATGTCTCTGCTATCATTCTCTCCTGAAGTCCCTCTGTTGATGTTTTTGCCCCCATGACTCCACATACTACGTTTCTATCAAGGACATCCATGACATCCCTGTCACTAAACTCACTGGTCTATTCTCCATGTCGTCTCACTGACTTATCGGCTTTGGACACAGTTGGTCATTGTCTCCAACTCTGAGCTCTCCCTCCTCTTGGCTCCCAGAACCCTGTCCCTGGCCTGTTGTCTGTCTGCCTTTCTGGCTGCTCCATCTGTTTCTTTTCTGCTTCCTTCTCATCTCTTTGACCTCTAAATATTGAAGGAAACCAAGAGTTAGTGGACTTTTTTTCCATCCACACCACACCGTGTGAGTCCATCTGTCTCAAAGCTCTAAATGTCACCTATCTGCTGATGAATCCAGTATAGATTTCCAACCCAGACCCTCCCCTGGACCCCAAATCATGCACATCTTTGCTAGGATATCCAAGAGCCATCTCAAACTAAACACTTCCACAACTTGTATTCAGGGACCAGGCTGAAGAAACAGTGGTGGCCCAGGGCATAGTCTTCTCATTGTGAAGGAAAGGAGTGTACGAGGGAAGACCCACACAAGTATATCTAAAGCCCCTGATCACAACGTGTCTGCCAACATTCCAGTGGCTAACACACAGCATATGGTCAAGTCCAATGTCAGGGAGGCAAGAAGTACACCCGGCCTTGAGGGAGTGGGAGAAAGGAGAAGGCAGTGAGTATTTATTTGCTGATCAAGACTCCATCACACCAACCCAGTTTACCCAGTTGCCCTTCCATCTCCCCAGGATGCTGGATTCCTCTGAACTTCCCTCAGCCAGCTGGAGATTTCGAAGCGCCCGCTCTGCATTAGTACCTGCTGGACACAAACACCAATGCTCTTTTTTTCTTTCCTGACTTGGGGTGGGGGCAGTAGATAGCTCTCCTGAGCCCCAGCCGAGCAGCATCTTCACCAAACAAAGTTTTAGTCCTGGGACCTTTAACTCAGGAACTCTGAAAACATTTTGAAGGTAGCATTTAGAAACAGAGAACTTCCTTTACTCTCCAGGGTAGGTTCCTATAAGGCTTGGAAAAACTCATGACCGATGGGGAAGTTGGTTGTGAATACTTGGAAAGGCGACCAGAGGAAAGGCCTAACACAGCAGCCTGCCCTCCAAAGAGCACCCTGTGGGTCAGCCAGCTGCCTGGTTGGGAGGAGAGGGCAGCTCCCCATGGCTATGTCGCTCCCCTCTTCCTGACCTTCAGAAAATGAAGAATTAGATGTGTTACCTGGTCCCAAAGTTTGAATCAGCAACTGCAATAGCAAAAGCAAAAGCAAAAATTCATTCATCGATTTGCTTACTGAATGCTAACCATTTACTGAAAAAGGACTTGAATTTGCTGGACACAGGAGGAATGTTCATGAACAGTCTTGCTTTCTGCTCCCATTCAACTTACAGTCTGTTGAGAGAGAGGAACAATTAAGTAAATAGTTAAATACAGCATGAGAAAGGTTGTGTTGGGGGAAGTATAGGGAGCTATAGAAGCTTATATACCAGAGGGGCCTAATTAGGACTTGGGGAATGAGGGAAAGCTTCTTGGAGGAAGTGTCTTTTAAATTAAAGCTTAATGAATGAGTTATGGGGACAAGAGGGTTGGAAAAGGGCTTCCAGAAAAAGCAAGCAGCGTGCAAGAGACACGAAGGCAGAAGAGCTCCTGAGGTTGCTCCTAAAGAGATGAAGGGGGGGGAGGGGGGAGAGATGAAGCTGGAGAGATGGACAGGCCTAGACTCGAGCAGCATCCCTGGAAAGCCTTGGGCAAGAGTTCTCACTTTTTACCGAGGAGTTTATATCGGGGTCAGGATGGTGAGATGGTGGCAGTGTGAAGGGAGAGAACGGAAAAAACACAAGAGCCATGCAGGTGGTAGATTGAGAGCCCCGGCGAATTTTTGCTGGAGGAAGGGAGATGCCCACAGTCTGGCTCCAGTCCCTGGAGGATTGGAGGCTCCAACCACAGAAATGGGGAGTGCACGGGATTGAGAGCTGCCAACGAGGAGCAGGAAGGTTGTCGGGGTGCCCCAGGGAGAGGCGCGGGCTCAGTTTGGGGAATGTGTTTAGAGATCTAAGCCGCACTTGAGTACAGATGTCCTGCGGGGAGGTGAGCCCATGACTGAGTAGACAGAGGCATTTATTCATTCACTCATTCTCTCCATAAACATTTATCCATTACTGGGTTGGGTGCTGAGTAAACAAGGATGATTCAGAACCTAATCCTCGAGTGACTCATGAGAGAGACGTGTAAACATAGCGGCGGTGCTGCTGGAGGCACAAAAATAGTGCGCGCTCGGGGTAGGGGAGAGCCCGAAACCGTGAGCTCTGCTTGGGAGGCCAGAGGGGCTTCCCAGGAAAGGCGACCAGGAGCGAGCCGTCGGGCCGGGAGCAAGGTGGGGCCTGGGAGGAGAGGGACGAGCAGAGGGCTGCTGAAATAATAAACCCATTCAGGAAGCGCCAGGCGGCGGGTGGCTGCAAGGTAAGGCTGGACGGGACGGCAGAGGCAGGGCCCTGGGCCAGGGCCTCACACGCCGCCTGAGGGGTTGGACTCTGAAGTGACAGTCATTGGAAACTTTTTAAACATCCTTTTTATTGTTATTTTTACCATTTTAAAACTCTATGCAACTTTTAAATGAGCATAAAGAAAATAAAAATCATTGTTACCATTTAATGTGCAATGAAAATGTTTCCCATTCCCAGTCTCCATTTCTCTCACTCTTTCTGTTTATGTGTAATAGAGTATATGTATATATGTATTTTTAAACTTTATTAAGAAATAATTGACAAGTATAGTTGTATATGTTTAAAGTGTACAATGTGACTATTTGATATACATATACATTATAGAAGCATTACCAAGACCAAGATAATTAACACATTCATCACTTCACATAGTTAATAGTTACCGTTTCTTGTGTGTGTAGTGAGAATACTAGATAATAGTGTGGTGAAGGCCTGGGGAGGGGGCAGGAACAGGTGGAGGGGGTCAATGGGGTAAAAGGGGGACATCCGTAATACTTTCAACAATAAAGATAGATTTAAAAATAAATAAATAAATATAAGTGTACATGCAAAGATACACACACACAAATTCAACTCTACTCTTGGCAACTTTTTAAGTGCACAGTACAGTATTATTAACTATAGTCACCATGCTGTACATTAGATCCTGTATATATGTGTTTTAAAA